GATCTCTAATTCTTCGGACTACCCTCCCCTCGCGGATTCCTCTACACCTCCGATTCGGAACATTCCTCCTCGTCGATCGGTACCGTCCTTGAACTTCCACCAGGGTGCATTTCAAAATTCAACGAGTAGTCGCGCGAGGAAAGAAAAGGTCTTTGAAGATCTTTGAACGCGGTTGATTAGTCGGAAAATATCGAGGGCTTTCAAATGATCGTTCGTTAACTTTCACCCCTCTCGTAAATCACGCTACTCGTTATTGCATTTTTCTTCTGTTGTTATTGGTAGAACATCAGCCGAAAGTAATAACGACAAAAACGGGACAAACTTTCCGTTCGATCGAGCCTCTCTTGAGATTAATCATTTCTTCGATGATAAGTCAGCGGGTCGAATCTTTTCGTATTCCTCTCCCTCTCCCGGTTAATGGGGAAAAAGTTTTTATATTAACATCGTTCGGCTCCTCTTTTTTCACTGTTTCCTCGTTGCGGATATCCCTTCGACTCGACGAAAGACGTTTTCGACAAAATGCGAACGGGAAAGAGGGAAGACATTAAAGAGCGTAATCTATGGCGAACGACGAAGAAAGGGCTTAAAGATGACAAAGTGGATGCTTCGTACTTTCACGACACGTAGGGAAACCTAACGACCCTAACGCTCCTGTTTGCGGCTTCCTACCCTTTCGAAGCTCGTTCGGTAATAAATGATGAAGTGTCACCGAGTTTCGTCGGAGTTGCCTTTTTTGCATAATTCACAGGGGTTCGTTGACAGTCCTCGAGGGAATTAATTTTTCAGCCACCCCGATCGGCCTGTTTCTCGATCGGACCGGAAGCTACGCTCGAGGTATCATCTCCTCTTTGTTTCGACCATCCTGTGACTTACGTAATTCATTGAGCGACGTTCGTGGTTTTATTTTCACCCAGCTACCCGTCGCATGAAATATCGACGTTCTGCCGTTGACTTTGCTCGTCCTCGAAAACGCAATCGTTCATCAACGTTCCAGCAGTATTTTTCGAAATAAAAATGAAGTTTCAAAAAGTTCAATATCGAACACCGGTTTCATTAGGCCGAATTGTTTCGAAATTCCGCAGCCTCTGTTCGCGACGTGTAATGAGATACGAGTTCGAGTCGCGGCTGGAACAACAATGAAACGTTACTTGCTCGAAATTTCTCTGCTATCCGCTCGATCGAACAGTGTTCCAAGTGAAAACGCATCCCGCTACGTTTTTGGAATCCTGACTCAGATACGTAACGTTTCTCTAAAAATAAAAAGGAACCTGACCAACAAGCAAACTCGAATAACTCGTGATATTCAAATGTTCCTTCTAATTTAATCGGTGAAATTCCACTGTGCTTCAAGAGATTATGAGTAACGAGCCCCGAGAGACGTGTAAATCAAGCTAGCGCTGAAAGTTTTGAGAATTCAACGAGTAAGCTGTCACATACAGCACTCGTTGTATTTCGTACTTTGATACGTTGAAATGTTTGACGTGCTGGTAATTCAGGAATATTTTAATAATTCAATGACCGGTTTAAGTTCGTAATTTTAGTTTGAAATAATGTTGCCAGCAATCGGGGCGAAGCTTTAGGAAAGCTTCGTACGGTGAAACTTCGAAGCTCCGAGTCTCTTAAGGAAATTGAAGTGGAAGATAAGGTTTAAGCAAGAAAGTCTAGCCTGCAGGTTTTCATTCCGCTTAAATAAGTAGCCGTGATGTTGACAAATGAACGTTTACACCTCAATATTTCCACGGACGGTTATCCCGTTTCGCGATATTGAAGCTCGCCTGGGAAATTTTCGTCGAACCATCGAAATAATTTGCCTGATACTTAACGAAATTACCGTTGCGATTCCGACGCGAAGTTTCATCCGCATTGCTCATTAGTCGGGCCGCGTGCCTCGATAAATAAACTCACTAGGTGACTCACCGGACAAATGCTCAGTTGTTCGCTGATATTTCGAACTGCCCTTCCTATTACAACCTTTCATTTATATTTATACTTTCCTTTTATTAATCCAACTTTATTTCGTATGCGCGGTACGTTTACATTTTAATCGTGTAAAAATAAAAATAAGTCTCTTGGCGTGTCTCATCTGATATGATATAGAATAATTTAAAAAATGTGTCTACTAAATATTCAGAAATGAATAAAACATCATAATTCAGTTTTATAATTGAAGAATGAATAATATTTAGAAGCGAAGCCAATTTTTTATTTAAATCGAAAGCCGATGATTATTTTACGAGCCTAATATTTTCACAGATTATCCCAAATTGTATCTCCCGTTGCTAAAATCACGTATATTTTTTCATTTTTCCACCGGACAGTCGCGTTAACCGTATAAATCAGAGGAATCCGCGTTAGAAATTTCACCCGGGAATAATTTACATGCTACAGGAGTTTTTAGCAGGATAAAAAAAAATCCGTGTCGCCGTGACATTCGATTTATCATCGACCAGGGAATATTCGTTGCTCGATATTCGAAGACCATCGCGACTGATATTCCCGACGAGTTTCATTCGACCCTTCGGACTTCATCTTCCTTCCGTTTCACCCTCTTCCTCTCGATTAATTTTCACAGATGTCTCCAAATTCGTCCGTTTAAAAAAAGAAAAAGGCGTAATATCGAACTCTTGTCACGTTCCTCGTAATTGAAACGTAATGATGCTGTTCGTTTTCGTGGAACGTGATACAAGGAACGTGAAGAATCGTATCATTGTTTCTTGAAGTGTCGTTGATATCGATCACGGAAGGGTGCTCGAATAAATCATTTTAACGGCGTCCTTTTTACTGAAACGCCGTGAAATGAAACGAAACCGCGAACCACGCGCGTTCCATCGTTTCAGCAAATTTGCTCGCGATCCTCCTACGTTTCCTTGGGAAATTCGCGAAGAACATTCTCAAAGATATTCTTGTTGCAAGGTGTTAGGATGGTTTGCGAGCAGAGAATCAAAAGTAGGAGAAAATCCACGCGACAGAAGGGAATTAGAAATTCCCACGTAATCAAGCATTCTTTTCGAAATTGCATTTTTCACACGAGGAGAAAAAATTCCTTGGGTCGACCGACAAATGCTTCCAAGTGGAATTTTCCTTTTTTTGGTAAGGAAAATTAAAAATATGGTTATTCGAAGTTTAGGTCGAAGACGCTACTGCGGCTTGGTATTATTCGTGGATTACGGAACCGCGGTATTTGTATTTTCAGAATACAGGAAGATTTACGAGGCCAACGAGGGAATTAATATCGAAACTAATTTCCAAGGAGTATCGGTCACGAAGAGGTTAAGAAAACCGGAAGGGAAATACGCTGCGGGAAAGTTGATTATTCCTGTTTGAGTTGCCGCGTGAATCCTCTCCTCTCGTTACAGTTGGCAAGTTTTATTAAAAAGAATGGCAATTTGCTGAAATCGTTTTACCAGCCGCATTTTTTCTTTGCGAGGTTCTATTAAGAGGAAAGTAATTAATGGATCGCTTCGTAGCACTTTTCGTTTATGTATTTTAATAAAGGCTTCGACGAACGATTCATGCGATTTTTTATTGTTCGATCAATTTTCATATTTTCTCTGGTTCGTTTACGAAAGATAAGAACGAGGCATCCCAATTGTCACGGCCCTGGCAGCTATTTTTACCATCGTCCGCGCGTTATTTATAACAACAGACTTATTTCACCGTCGACACGACTTCTATCTGTCGTGTTCAGCATCGGACCTTTGGATTCACCCAAGAAACATGTTGTAAAAATGTTTGAATAAATTTTTTTTTCTTGACAGAAGAAAGTAAACCTTATGAAAAATTCTTCTATTACAAAGAGATAAAGAAAAATGTAGTAGATTTAAAAAGAGTAGTACAGAATGGAGGCATTTAATATTTTTATTAATATTTTATAATTACCTATTGATCTTGTTGCTGTTTAAAATTACTTAATTCTACCACGTAAACTTTCAATCGACTTTGTCAATGTATTAGTACGATGATAACATTACCGAAAATATTAATTTTCTTCTTCCTTTAATTATTCGATTATATTAAATTTATGGCGACGGTCACCAGTAACTCCGACACAGCAGTCGGTTAATTATTGTAAAAGCTTTGAAACAAAGGGGTCAGAGATTGAGCTTTTGCCGTGTTGTATGGCTAATTACAATCGAGTCTCAAATATTTCCCTCAAACAGAGAGGTGGTAGTTTTAATTAACAACTAGTGACACGTGCACGTTGATTATTACTTTCATCAGCGGATCCCTTTTGTTGATCGTTACCGTATTAAACGATTTAACGTCTGCTCTTTTATTCCCATGATTTATATATTACCAAGCGCTAATTACATTAGCATCACGGGAAACAGATGCTGAAGGTGATAAATTAATAATCGGTCGCATAATTTTTCATACAAATATACGAGGAATATCATTTGTCAGGATTGTCAACAAGTCTTTCGAAGTTGTTCATTTCCTGCAAACGTTCTCATCGATATGATTAATTAATATATCTGAAGAAAAGATAATTAAAATCGTGTCCGTAATTCGTTATGTTATTTCCATTGTTCATCTTTCAATATGAATCTGCATATATGGAAATTCATTAACAGTATTTGTTAATGAAGGTTCATATAATTGAAAAGTTTCATCAAGTATTTTATTAATTTCTCAATATTTGAAAAATTAATTTCAATGAAAGATTGACTGCAGTATTGATAATATTTGTTCTTAAAAAATATTTCAAGCTGAGCTTTGCAAGCTGAGGGACAAACGTCATTGGTCATTCATTTGACTTAGGAATCTTCTAATTGTCAATAACGTCGAAACATAATTATGTGGTTGTCGCAAATTGACAAGCCAATAATCATCAATCGAGTGACATGCGATATCGAGTTGAACATGTACTCGCGTAACCAGTTACATCGCGATTTCATTGACCCATCAATTCAATATTCGATCGCATCCAATCTTTCAATTATTAATCACAATGTCAAATCGTCCATTCGTTAACAGTTCTCATTTTTCTTTTCCAACAGGAAGATCAGGAGTTGTTGCCACACGAGGCGGAAGGCATTCGGACTACCGAGATCCGGCCGTAAGTTAAAAATTTCAAGCATAGATTTTTCTTGTTTAAACATCATCGAGATATGCATCCCACGTTGCTATTGTTTATTTACCCAGCTCGATGATCGGAATAGCACCTTCCGGGTATAAATCCTGTCCGTTTAGGTTTTACATTCACGAACGTCGAAACGGATCGGCTAGAAAAATGTCGGTTTAAAAAAAAGTTGCTGTCGTTCTGCACGCGTTACCCGTGAATCCGATCTCGAAATAGTTTAATGATCGCTGGTCCGTAATTTTAGTCCAAGGTGTAGGTTGAATGACGCAAATCGAGACCGTCAAGAAAACTCGAAAACGCAGTGGACATTCGACACTTTCGCGGGTACTTTTTTTCCTTATGTAACACAAAAGCCTTTATTCGAGAAAACAATGAAACTTTTGAAAATCCGACAATTTTATTTCTAGTACTTGCAAACTGAACCGTGCCAATGTGTTCTATAAATAATAATATAATTTCAAAATTATAGCAGAAATATTTTGTACTTGGCAAAACTCGGACGCAGTGATATATCTTTCCTTGCACGTGCGCAAAAACTGAAGTGTATAAAAATTGATGATGAAAAATACAGAACGAGAAAAGTTGGACGTTTCCGGATGGAAGAAATTGAAACGATCTTGTGTGTATCGAAATTGCAGGGAGGTGGTGAGGTCCATGGAGCGTCTGTACGCTGTGCCATCGGAAAAGCTGCGAGTTTGGTCGGTTTGGCTGACGAAAATCGTTGAAATTGCCGACCAATGGCAAAAGTGGTTACGTGCTCACATCGATTTCACTATAAGGCTCTCAGACCGCTTGTACGCGGCCGAGATGGCCGTAAGGCGGTCGAAAATGGTAAGTTCTATTTCGTGTAACGACCAGCTACAGGCTGACCCGTTATTAGATATTTATGTCAAACATCGTGCCGGGGGTTAGGAAGGGAACATGAAAAATAAGGCCATTACAGAAAGTGGGACCTTCGTTCTCTAATTAATAAGTTCGTGGGGTGCGGTTATTTAGGATGAAATTATATTACAGTGAAAGCGTATTTAATGCACGTTAAATTGTCGTTTATTGGAGACCTGGTGCGCTGTAATGGTAGAGTAACGTGATATAAAGGCTACCAGGTACTCAGGTAAAAATATATGGAATTTGTGCGCTCGTTGGCTGGACCTCTTTTTTTTTAAAGCGATGCAAACTTCCTTCTAGATTAATTCCCTTCTGATTAAAATCGGGGAGAAACTAATTAAGTATTTCAAATTGCAGTGTGTTCGAACGATGACTATTGGAGTATTATTCTAAAAATTTTAGGTAGGTCTATTAGGAATTGACTACAAGGCACCATTGGCCCGTTCCAATATTGCTTTCCAATAATTTTGAACGGTTAGAGATAACGTTCGACGGTCTACCGTGTATGCGAAGCTCTCCTCGAGCGAATAGAAGACTGTTTTCGCAGCCGTACCGTAGGAGCATCATTAAAACAAAGGCTGCCTAACAATGTGTCTGCGATACGCGTTACGAGCTCGCGTAAATATCTTACGCTCGTAAAATCGTATCTATTAGAACGGCGTTGCTTCGTCGGTAGACATGAAATTTCAATGTAAATTACAGGTTTACTTGTCGTGTTCCCATTCAAACGGCTGCCTGACGAGATGACAATCGTGAACGCGATGTTCCTCGGTGAAATTGACACAAAGCACGCGGAAGTTTGTCACCATAGCGATCGACGTTATTAAATTTCGTATAAACTCATATTTTTGCAATAAGAGAAAGAGTTTCCTCGAAATCGTTGGTCTTGATGAATGTAAATTTCACTCTTTAAGGTTTCAATTTTCTTAGCATTTAGTGGTTTCCCTGCTCGTTGCTTTTCATATTCAATAAACTGTTTCAATCTTCTCATTACTATAGAAATTGCAACGAATTTTGCTTTGAAATTAATAAGCATCCTGTCGCAACGAGCATCGGTAACCGGTGGCATAAATTAAAAGCAGGGAAACGAGGGGACTTAATTAAAAGCAGAAAGAAGAAAGAACTAGTATTACCCTAATAATATTTAAATATTTAAAAAAGGAAAAAATATTAATACCATTGATTGTTCTTACACCGATATTTCTTAACAATCCTTAATTAAATTTTTTAACGCGTCTGACCATGCACGTTCATTATCACTGTGACAGTCCTTCCAGTGCCGCTCCATATACGAATTTTTCTACTTCGTCAGAGACACCTTAACGATTTCAAGATATTATGAGAACAGACCCGGCGTTGTTTCCAATTTTCTCTGGTATGGGGGGAAAAAAAATTTAATTTTCCCTCGGATCTAGATAGTCGTAGCGGTTCTAAATAACGGAAACTTAATTTCTCCGAGCGTCCTTGCCAGCGTGTTCTAGCTGAAACACAGGGGAATGATTTACTGGGGTCGCTGGGAATAGCCGCGTTTCTCAGCATCCAGTTGGTTAACCTTGAACACGGTGAACTCGAAGCCAGTGTGTTTCGTTGTCTCAGAGCCCAGCTCAGGTGTTGGCAGCGCTTTTTCAGTCTACCGGGAGATTTATACGCAAGGCTACATGCTTCAGTGACGCGAGGGAATGGTTTAAATCTCTTCTCCTCTCCCTCGCTCTGCTGAGTGACTGGGTGAACGAGAATCACGGTGAAAAAGAGAGATAAAAAAAAGCGTCGCGGCGAAAGCGTCACCCGCACATGTTGCTTCGTGATTTCGCGAGGCTGCTCGACCTTCGGTCGAAAGTTATTCGAAGCGATGCGACGGCTAGATCAATCGATCGATTCTAATATATTTACTTCGATGCAACACGCCACCCTCTGTTTAATAAAAGGTGGAGGCTTGAATAATTCAAGGTTACGATGGCTATATTAAAAACGTCGTAGATCAACGAGACATCCTGGAGACCTAGAGCATGATGAAAAAGGGTTCAGAATTTGGAGGGTAGATCGCCGAATAAATTCATTTTACATGCTTTCTTATACAGAATGTCTGAAAGAATCGATCTACGTGAAGAAAATTTCAAAAATTCGTTTTTAAAAAAAGTGCATGTGCATCGGGTGCATCACTGCGCTTGATTTAAAATATCTCTCAAACTATTCTGTTTCCTGCGTTTTACCCTAATACTTTCTTACACAGAATCACAAAAAGAATCGATCTCTGTAAAGAAAAGTGCAAAAATTAATTTATAAAAAAAGTGCATGTGCATCGAATAAGTGCATCGCTACACTTGTTTTGAGATATCTTCCAAACTATTACGATTCCAACATTTTACCCTAATACTTTCTTATACAGAATGTCTAAAAGAATCGATCTACGTGAAAAAAATTCCAAAAATTCGTTTTTGAAAAAAGTGCATGTGCATCGGATAAGTGCATCGCTGTATTTGATTTGAGATATCTCTCAAACTATTCTACTTCCAACATTTTACCCTAATACCTATTTTATTTAATAATGTTTTCAAAGACATAAACGGTGAACGATTAGGAAATAGATTTTAATCAGTAGAACGTGTTCCCTGGCTAATCCAAAGCTGTCATCTTGCCGATTTATACGCTTTGAACAACGACTGCCGGCTCACGTTCCTCTCGTCCTCCGGCAGTCATCGCGGAAGATAAGCGGCGCTGGTTTAATTTTAATTTTAATATGCATTAATCGCACGACTTTCTGTTTGCGCTGGCCAAACTTTCCCATGAATCGCGGTGCACAAAGGACGAACTACCAGCCGATCCCCGTGTACTCTTCAGTTATTTTCTTCTTGGAACCTGTTATAAATCACCCTTTACAAATTTTGCGCTTCGTGTACTTTGATAGTGACAGAATCCTATGAAACCAGCGAAATCTTTTGTGCTTGAGGTTAAAGAAAGAGAAATATTTTTAGAAAACGTTGAACGTTTAAAATGTACAAGATGCGAAAACACAGGTGTACTTTTTACAAAAATATTTACCACGTAAAGCCAGAAATATGTTGTTGTTCTCGAGTACACATATACGTCTGTACGTTATCGGTTCCTCGCTGGTTTATATTCTTTCTAATATATCCATTGTACAGATTTCATTGAATTTTCGGTTCCCAGGAAATAGTGGAGTTGAGGAAAATCTCTAGCAAGGTGGGACACGCAGATGAGGAGGAAATGAAGTATCTCTACGAGACTGGCGACTCCATTCAAGGTGAGATGAGAATAATTTAATCAAACGATGCTCACCCGAGTTCCCTCGCAATGTTCGAGTTCCCTTTTCCCCCCCGTGGATTCGGTGAAAGAGATAAATTGGAGGGAGGGGTAGCTGTGGCAAACAGTAATTTTGGTAGAAGCGGTATTATAGCGGCCGGTATCGCACTTATCACAAAATAAATCTAAAAGTATGGGTATTGTCCTCGCGCCGGCGCCGGCATCACGTAGTGCTTTTACGTTCCCCTAAACAGATTTTACGATGTCACGAAGATACACTTTGGTAAAGTCGTATCTGGTTTCGCCACACCGAAAGCAGCAGCCTTATCCTCGAATTTCCTGCGTTTAATAAGTAATTGTAAGACTTCGCGTTATTACACTGTAAATCCAGTCGTTGGAATGAACCGCCACCCCCAATAAACCGATTCCAAGGAACAGGGAAAACTTTTTCCTACTTCTTTTCCCCATCTCGCTGATATTATCGAACTTCTGTTGTGCCGTTCTGCATCTAGAACGGAAAATATTTCTGCACGTAATTTCGAATGAAGTCATCCAGTGCCCTAGGTCTGGGTTAATTCAAAATAAAGATAATTCCAACAGGAGAGGGTGGTTCCATATACGAGGAGGCAATCGATATGCAAGAAGAAGAGCAGAGATCCTCGAAACGTACATTGGACAGAACATCAACGAGACCGGAGGTAGCGTTAACAACAGCAGCATCCAGCGTCACGTTGACACCATCGACGGCTACCATAAAAGAAGTATCAAGCACGTCACTGCAACCATCGCAGATCACTATAGTACGAGTACAATCGGCTGCATCGAGACAAGCCTCGAGGACTTCTGTAAAATCAGCACCTTCGGCTACGTCGAGACAAGCATCGAAGACTACTGTGAAATTATCGCAGTCGGCTACGTCGGGAAAAGCATCGAAGACTTCTGTGAAATCAGCACGGTCGAGTACGTCGAAACAGGGCTCGAGGATTAGTATAAAATCAGCACTGTCGGCTTTTTCGAGACAAGCCTCGAAGGCTACTTTAAAATCAGCAAAGTCGATGGCTAGCGTAAAATCAGGTAAAATAAATCCTAAGCAACACTTGAGTGGATCCATATGGGTATTAGCAGATAATCAATTTGTTATCGAGGAACTAAAATCAACGAGGAGCTTAGGACCTGGCCGATCGGAACCCCATGGGAACATTTGGGTCTGGAGGATGCGTACGAGGAGGAGGAATACGAAGTAAGAACCTTTCGTTTTCCACTTACGAAAATTTACAATGTTTCCTAAACTCCACTCGTCCCGTTCCACGATCTTGTACGAATCGGTTCAATTTTATAACCAGAATCCTGTTGGAAAGTTTCTACAGCTCTTCCCACGGTTCTCCTGTAACTTTTCAACTTTCGCCTTCGCGCGACCGTAAAAACAAAGAGTTTTCTTTGCAGAAACTGCCGCTACCGAGTAACGAGCAGGAGATGAGGGAGTTCCTGAAGAAGTTTACGCACCAGGCGACCATCTACAGGTCGTATTACAAGCACTGGAAGGAGACAGCGGATCGGGTAAAGATTTTTAGGCACCGACTCGACCTTCTGCTCCTTGGGGAACACCGACGAGCTTTTTAAAACTCGACAATTGCAGGCGACAAAGGAAATTGGAGGTAGACTCGTACTTGCCACCTTCCAAGTGCAAGGGAAGGACCAGACAGGGCGAACAAAGAGGCCGGTTCGTCCGAAGCCATGCGGCAGTGTATCCAAAAGGAAACTCGTCAAATCGAAAGACCAGCAAGTTAACACGTCGGATCTGAGCCAGAAAGCCAGCATTGCCTCGTTGAAATCAGGAAAGCGTTCTACTGTGACTATTAAAGAGAAATCACAAGAGGTAATAGTAGCTTTGTTAAGGGTCTATTTTCGTGATTTTTCGTCCTTCGATTTTCGCGATCTAGTTTATAAAAAAGAAAATGAATTAGAGCTGTGCTATTACCAAGAATCCGCCCGGAAGGTCGGCGACGCACGGTACCGTGTCTTATCTTAAGTTCCCGTGTCCAGAAGTTCCTAATATCATTTCCTTTTCCTGTTTACATTTTCGTCAAAATACCATCCGTTTCGAAAACTTTCGGATAGGAGAAACAGAAAAACCTCAGGGATCCCTGTTATTTTCTTGTTTGTTATTTTATTCACTTTGTCTCCGACCGTGTTTCAAAGTATTCCCGACTGTGATCGTCCTAAATTCTTTCTCCCCAATTTATTATATCGTTCAGCTGGTGGCCCAAAGTTTCTGACGTTTGATTTCCAACCACTTTTTGCCTCGTTTTCGAGTTCCATTAAGAGAAAAATTGTACTAGAGCTGTTTTTTGCTTCACGAAATAGAAACAGTTGGCGATGGCCAGAAATAAAGAGATCACGTCGTACGGAATTACAAGATATCCGATGACACAAAACGTTTTCAACCGGCAAGAAGTTCTGGTAACAATTTTTATCTGTCGCTCAATAAATGGTTAAGCAAGCCGACCTTTCGTTAGACCAACGAATACGCCTTTCTCTTATTTACGAACGAAGGCCCGCAATCTGTGGCTCGTTAAAGGAGCGATTCGTTTCATCGCGAGGCTACGAAGAAAGGAGATCTTCAATCGACAGCTTGCCAACTAGTTCGCGTAATTAAGCATCCTTAATGAATCTCAGCCTTGGAAATCTTTTTTCGGCGTCGATGTTACGTTAACACGGTTAAAGACCGTCTGATAAATATCGGATAAACGTTTCATATTTTCTGAAATTTTTCTCCTCCGTTCGTCGATCGTCAACGTTAATAATGGCCATCATTATCCGGCAAAAAGTCTGTTACGATAAACGATCCAGATGCTTCTCTCTCTCGTTCTCTCCTTGAATGATTTCGATCTTCCTGGAATCCAACCAGTGTCTAAAGGTCTGCGAGTACAGTCGATTTATCCTTGTCGTCGTCATTAAGAGCCATTTAACTCTTGGTTATACGTCTCTTCGCTGGATATCGACGTATCGCCAGTAGCCAAGACTGATGTAACTTTCGATTGATATCGAGAGTGAAGATTAACGAGCGGCAAGGATCTTCGTTATTTAAAAATTAGTTTGTTTGAAATTTAACGCACCGAATGTCACGCCATTCACCGGTTCGTAATTAACCATTGAAATCAATTTGTCGACTTGAAAATTTTCTATATTAAAGGACTTCAACTCCCTTAGATTTAATTCCTTTCTTTTCTGTAAGAAAATTTTCGTTTTTTGCAGCGACTGAACAAAGAAAGCCAGAAATCCATAGAGGTGCCCGATTGGGTCAGGGAGTGTGCACGCGCGTTGGAACCCATACCTTATCTCTTTTACGTGAGAACGGAACCGGACATCGACATAGCTATAGAGCACGATGACGAAGAAGTAATTCTGGTGGACCTGGATCGCGAGGGGGTGATTGCACAGAGCAGACGTGTCTTCTTCAATCTCACGGATAAACCGTGCAAAGGAGGGAAGCCATGGATATAAAGAGCAATAGAACTTGATCAATATTTCAGGACACCAATTACAGTACAATAATAACAATGCCAAGTAAATAGAGCAGTTGGTAAAGTTGTTGTTTACAGCGAAATTTCCGGGTGTTTCGTGAAGTTTTAATCGAGCCGGATCCATTAGAAAGGTAAGTTGGAAATAATGCATACGGTAATCGAGTACTATTTTCGATTTAACTCGAATAAAATTGCGCTAAACGTAACGAACCTACGGCGTATTAAAATGTAACGAACGAATATTGAATCGGGGCAAATATTTAGCAGATGTTGTAGAAATAATTTAGCTGCTTCTACGTGGAACGAATAACGAAAAAGGAGGTATTTTTTACTTAAGAGAAATGATTAAGTAACAAGATGAAAGGGATATACTTTTAATCACAGCAGGTAAGAGGATCCTGGTCGCATAATCACCCAGGACGAAATGATGTTCCAGTTCTCTGGACATCAGCAAACACGAGGACGAGCTTTGATCTTGCATAATAAGCTGTTGATCGTAGATCCGACGATCTCTCGCGTTAGACGAGCCTGACAGGTAACGTTGTCTTTGATGTCGAATCCAGATATTACAGAGAATCTGGATACGAGCGAGGAACTTTGAAAGACAGTGAATCCGACTCCGAAAGATCGTTTCGTATTTTATGTTTCCATATTCGTCAGGATGAATTTTACTGCGAGACCCCGCGCGAAGGATCATAACTGAAAATCTGCCGGACGATTCACCGTCTCGCGTCGACGATAACCCGGATACTCGTTATTTGCCTCGAACGTAACGTTGTTATCGGATTACAATCGCAGGCTGAAGTCGACGATTCGCGACACGAGCCCCGAAGTGCTCGTACAACTGATTTTATCACCTGGACGCGTCGAACGGATCGTTAGAAAAAAGTTGGGCGAGCTTTTTATCGGTAACTTTCTTAGTTAGGTAGTCTTTCTTATAGTTAACTTTAAGCAGACGCTTCTTTTCTATATTTTGAAAAATAAGACTGAAAAAAGGGCGAACTTAAATTCAAACTTAGATTAGCGCACAGCTGAGGATTAAGTTCACCTGAAATTTCGATGCAATTATTGTTTTCCTTCCGAAACTTCACTTAAAGTTATTTTAGCCGAGTTTATTAAAAGGAATTTATTACTACAGTTTACGTACAGGGCTTAGAAACAAGAAGGGTTAATTTACGTTATCCTAGGGAATATCAGAGTTATCCCAGCTTAGAGTAGTTGTAATCGTAGTTTCGCAGAACCGATGTCCGTATTTATAAAGCATATGAAAAATTGCGAAACTTTACCAAAGGCTTAGCCGAACTTGCAGCCTCGCTTCTAGCAACATTGACAATATATTCCACTTTGAGAGAAGTTTTTTAAAGCATGCAAATTGAAAAGCTCTCTGGAAGGTGGACCATCTAAGAGCCATGTAACTTAAGGTACACCGTTTAATGGAACTTCATAAATTTCAACGTATAGTCGGTGTTCTTGGACCCACGTCATAGGAAGCATCGATCGTAACATTGTCTGTCGTTTATGAACGTTTCCAGGACTAATTAACGATACTGTTATAATTAACACCGGGAAGCACATGGTACCTACACGTGACGGCGTTCCATGGATCGCTTAACGCATTATCCTGGCTCGTTGATATAATTAATCTCCTGCAGTATGCATAGAATAACAGTCTTAAGAAAACCTTGCAAAAATAAATCATTTAACGGGGCCCTTGAAAAATACTCGGCCACTGATCGGTAGGCCATTTAGCGGGTGCCTTGGAAAATGTCCCATTTACTAATTCCGTGTTTTTCCTAATGTTTCTTTCCTCCCAACGACGCTTAGATCGATTTTGTGCAGGCCCCGAAGGAGTCTCTGCCCTTAATTAATCTCCGAATTGATACGCCCCACAAAGAACGACAAAAGCGTAAACGCGATAGAGTTCGATTAGACGAGACTTCCAGAGGTTCGTTATTTGATTTTCTTTGAACTTCCGGGTTCGAGATTCCGGTCGGTTCCCCTTGGACGACCCTGTACAAAAGTTTCGATCCTCCGAAGCGAGTTTTAGATCTCTATTAGAGAAGAAGCTTAACAGTTTCTCTGTTTCGAGAGAAAAGGATTGTAAAAGATCGCTGTTGTTTCACACGGGGAAAGATCAAACAAAAATTCAGCTGGTAAAAAATTCCATTTTACACGAGCAATGTTTCCGCTTGCCCGTTGCAACTTTTTCCTCGAATTTACATATCATTCATTTTAACGAGCATTGAATTTACTAGGCAAGGGACAGGAGATTACTTTTAGACGCGTAATTTTTGAAACAAGTTTCCCGGCTACGTAAATAAACGGCCGAAGGAAAAGGGAGAGGCTGATGATTTCGAAGGGTAGGAAGAAAAAATAGGAAAGCGGAAAGCAGCGAGGGTTAATAAAGTTCAAAGGGCTTGTTTACCTAACGAAATATTACCAGGTAGAATGTTGCCTCTCTTGGTTCCTTCGACGATACCGTCTTATTTGGTCGACCCCATTAATTTCTTCTACGTTGAAACGACAGGTTCGCGATTTCTAATCCGTAAACGGAAGTTGCGCGTATCGGCAGTTTTCTGAGCTCTTCTATCCCTCGTGATTTATTATTTGAAACGTAATCGATCGTCGGGACAAGGCGAGGAATAATTTTTAATCCAGCCTCGTCGATCAATCGGAGACGTTCGATAGACGGTTTCGTAGAAACAGCGACTTGTTTTCTGTATTAACGACACAGGTATGAAGTGTGATTTACAATCGGTCGTACAACACGTGGCAGCTCGCTACTGGGAAACAGACTATCGATGCATTTTCTGAGCTACACGTTTGGCTGCGTGTGATTTATAATAGCTGCATCGCGTAGCTGTTTCGTAGAATCGTTGATTACGCTCCAATATCGCCTCCCCTTATTGAGTTTCGAAGATTAAACGCGCCTGGAACGAACAAGTTGCTTTCATTTTAGTACAGATACGCTCGATCGTTAAGAGAACCTACGAACATTTTCGTTAAACGATAAAACACATTATTTTCTTCATTTAATTTTTATTTTTTACCCGGTGGCCTTTAAATTCAATTTGGTGTTGTGTCTTTAACGTTGAAATATTTGTAAGTTTAGATAGGTTTACGAGGACACATTTGGGTCCCGTGAAAACATGGCTCTTTGCGTTCTCGTGAGAAACGGTCCGCGGGTATGCATCTGGAAGGGAAAAGAAGTCAGTCGAGGAGGAGAAAAAGAAGCGGAGAAAATTGAACTGCCAGATGCGCTCCGCGGGGAAAAAAGGGCTGACTGAATAACGCTTTATAATCCTGTCCGTTTTCTCTCGTTCTTGTTGATTTATAAACAAACATTTGCACGCTTTCCCGTCTGCCCTACGGTTCGCAATGTGCTGGTTCAAAAATCGAATAACGTAGAGCCAGATGCCATTTCGAGGGGAAATGCTTTGTAATATTCCTACTGTTTTATTGCCGACAGAATTTTTCGTTTTTCGGATAAAACATATTTTACAGATCAGTTTTCAGACCGAGCCAAAATTATTGATTTATTTCATTTGAATCTAGAATATTACCTAGGTGACAAAATTTCTATTTCTTTAAATGGCAAAGCGCGAATCCCATTGCTACAGTTTCTATTTTTCAAGAATTTCTTATAGTAAAACTTGGATAGAAATAGCTTATGTCTCTCTGGTGGGTAAGTGCAACACCTATCACCTCGGTTTATTTCGTCGATTCGAAACTGAAGAACCTTTAATGTCACTCGAACTCTTGGTTAACTCCCACACGATTGATCGATCGTTTCAAACACGATCGAGCAAGTTTAAATGTAGATTTATCGATCATTTGGCGCAAGTGAGGGGGCTATTCCTCGAAGGAATAGTGGAAACAGACGGCCATATGTTAGCTGCATTAGTAGCGCAAGTGGCTTTCAATCGAGCTGCACTACTGCCTCTTTGAGGAGAACATTCCGTCGCCTCGATATTCGGCTATTCCCCTTCATCGTACATCGAACCGTGGAATCTCACCGTTCAAACGAATAGTTTCACGAGCGTTTTCTTTTCTCGAGTCGAATTCGATTTCGTTCGATTCACCGAGAGACGAATTTATGAGCGCAGGGATACGGGCTTGGTTCGACGAGAGATTCGAGAAATTCGTAGCCCGGTCGGGAAACGAGATCGTTTCGACATTGTTTCTCCTCAAATGGAATTCGATTTCTTCCTGATAATATCGCGGAATAACTTTCCCCCGGAATCGTTGTAACGGATTTACAGACAATTATGCTAACATTAAAGGCTTTCCATTCGAGGAAATTGCTTTGAAACGCGTTTCCTTCCGTTTCATTTCGATTCAGCGAACCTCGGCCGCGATCGTAACGCGCGTTTTACTTCGATGAAAGTTTCACGATCGTTCGGCAATTGGTTACAAACAAGCTAAATCGAATCTTTATTTCCATTCGGGAACGACTTTAATTTATGAGCAAGAAAAATATTAGAAATTGTCACTCGAAAGCGTTTAATATTTGAAAATGTATTCGTCGAATGATAAGCTGTCGATGGTACACAAATGTTCGTCGAATTCGTACGATAAATTTGTAGATTTCATTGGAATTTCGGGTCGGCGTTAAATCGAGATACAAACGTATCGTGACAGAAATGTTAGACAGGCCGGTAACACGCGATAAAATATTCGACCGATGCGTTTCCGTGTTAATGGAGTTTGAAGGAAATTATAATCGACGTTTCTGATCGCGCGTTGAAATTCTACGATTCATAGACAAACCATGAAAATGCTTGTAATTTTCATTTACTTAAAAATCTGGCGTCCTTTAAAAAAATTTCAAGGACCACTGTAACCCCCAAAATTCAAAGAGTTAATTAATTAATTAACATATTAGCGCAGTGATTGTATCAAGATGCCGTAGATTTGAAAGCAAAAGAAAGATTGTTAATTTCGTTATTTCGTGCCAAATGAATTGATAGCAGCCTCCCCGAAGGAGGTGAACTTTATTTATCATCCCCTCGTGCGAGGGTGCAACAGGAAAAACGCAAGGTATTGTCTGCACGGCGAAAACTTTAAAACGATTCTGTATTTTATCGTTCGATCATTAGTGTCCTATCTAGAGCGATTGTTTGCTCGGAAATACGTGAAAACTTCTTTTCTGGAGTATATTGGAAACACACACGATATCCCGGTGTTTTTCTTGCAATATTTTTGTATGGAACTTTTCGAATCCGCTTCGCTTAACTTCGTAGCCAGACGGATTAAAACTGATCCCTTCGGAAACATCACTTTTTAAAAAAATAACTCCTCTAACTGCTAACTTCTATTCTTTCGTACATTATTAAAATTAAATATTTTTCATTTGAATTCGTTAAGGCTTCGCAGATTCGAATGAAAATTATAGTTTCCATGAACGCGGATGAATTTCCAGCAACGGGTGCACCAAGTTGCAAGCTGCGCGGCGATGCTCGAAAATCGACGTCCCGAAAAAATACCCTGTTATGCGCAGTTTTGCAGTGGACGTTAAAAAAAAATTCCGTGGGCCGTGAGAGCGTGCAATTTTCGAGAGTAAAAAGTTGTCGCGGAACGAGCTTCTTCTGCAGGGCTGGAAAATGGAAATGGAGGAAAAAGTTTGGTCCGGCGTAGCCGGCCGACGAATATCGACTATTATGCCCGGTCGAATTGAAATGTGTCCGAACTTTCACGCGCCGGAGATCCTCTTCTCTTTTATTGGAATATTTTATATCGGGAACGAGTGGAAAAAGCGGGCTACCAGCGTCTCTCGTGCTAATAAAATACATCCTTCGACGACCTGTACGCGAGATTGCGACGATTTTTCAATCGATCATTCCTGAATCATCGATCGGGCTTGCAGGAAGAATTTCATCTGTCTCGTTGCTAGACGTAAATTTGAAAAGGAGAATTCTGCCGGTCGGTTCTATGAATAAAAATGACGTAGAAATGTTAGATGAACTCGGTTTCAAAGATTCGTTTAGCCTTTCGATGACGGTGGTTGATTTAGAGAAATTGTGGATACATTTTGAAGCATTCGAAGAATCGTCCACGATTCGGACATCTTAATTTTCGACAGAGCCGGTTCATTGCGGCGAGGATTCAATATCTGGTCAGGATAATTGCTTTCTGGTATTCGAGGAGTATTTAAAAGTACCCGGTTGCGCAAAATCTCTTATTACCCGGCCACCCTCAATAATTAAATTCACTACTCTGCTCTGGGCTTTATTAAATCGTTCCGAATCGGGATCACGAGGAAATATCCGAGCTCCCCGTCTTCGACGTTCTTCTCTTCTCCATTTCCAAGCCGAGAGCTACGTCGAGCGTAGGATCTACGGGGAACTTTCGACCTCTCTCCACGTTCGCCATTCTTCGTTTCTCGGGGAGCCGTCGACTCCCGGAGGATTCAATGTTCTCGCAAATTAATCGATCGTTCGAATGGAAGATTCAGAGGCGCGTCTTTTCAATGACCAGCCATGATAATCCGTGTCTTAGAGAAAATGCTACCCTTTCGTCGACTGACCAACACATTTTATTCACCCTAAATTGGACGACCTGCAAGAACGCCTTTAATGACCAATTTCAATGGAACCCTTTAAACTTTTATCCAGATATCATCGTGTTAATTTATTTGTAGCTGAGATTGAAATCTGTCAAGTTTCGCTAGCCTGTCGCGAGGGATCGATGGGTGTCTTCCTAGGAAATTCAATTTTTCTTGGAAACGAGGGAAATTTCATTCGAAAAGGATCCGGTCTTGTTTCGATCCTCGAGAAAGCTACTCCGAGCATTGGTCATTTGCATTCTCGACCCTGCCAGCTTCAGATATTTAAATTTCTCACTGAAGCGTGAAAAGCACTTTCCGTCTCTGGTCTGAGCGACGCAATTTTCGGTCGGAATTCTGGGATCATCTCACTTCATCCAGCTTCTTATTTTCTCGACGGTACCGCGATCAAATTGGACAAAAGTCGTCCCTTTGGAAAATTAATACAGAAATACTGACAGTCGCCTTGGGAAAATTTCCACGAATCGACCGGACGCGAATTCTGTAGCAATTGTTTCGTAATTTCTAAAGGGAACGAGGTTATTTTACGCGCCTCTCAGCTTTGGTAACAGTTATGGGAAGCGAAAGCTGCCATAAAAATGTTGATGAGCATCTGTAACGATCCGATGAAAAATGAGGGAAATTGAATAATTTATTTCTTTAACAGGAAAATGGTGCGCGAAGGTGATGGTGGAAATATTGAAAATCCATCGATAAGATGAAATTTCACGTACAATTTATGTAGACAGCTTTAAACGCGGGTACAATTTTTCTACTTAACATTTGGTTAAAAAGAGCCACAAAATTTCAAGATTGAATTTTACAAAATTCATGATCATCGAAGTAGAAATAATAGACAATGTCCGAATGTCACTATCGTAAAGAAAGATACACTTTCAATCAGGATTTCATTGGGGCTACTCGAACGAAATAAGTTAAAAGGTAAAAAGAGTGATCTTGGGATACTCTAAGAAGACGTTTCCTTTGATTCGCAGAAACTGCACGTCGATACTGGAAGTATCTTTCGACTTAACGTTCCATTAGGAAATATCAAGCTCTCATGTGAGCACGTACACACGCGTCCTTCTACTTATTCCCTTTTGGATTCTCGTGTAGCGTGTCTAACGTCACAACTTAAAAAGTGTCGAGAACTTCCGTCGCGGAAGAAACTTGGCCACCATCGAAGGGATTTCCGCTACTCGTGAATGCATGCTGCTCGGTCGAAACTTTCCTAGTCTCCGGCAATTTTCTCGGCTATCGTGGCAGCAACTGCGAAACCTTTTCTACGTTTATGAAAATTGTTCTCACAGTTGAATGCTGATCTTAGATTCTACCAAACGTTTTCCTGTTCCCCCCATGGAATATACAATCCAAAAACGGTAAACCCTTTGTTTACCGAAAATCCAATAGAATGAAATAAAATTTCTCCGCAAACAAATACTTGAATCATCAGAGAATTTTCCACGATTTTCTTGCAGAAAAATCTGATCTTCATTTTTCCATTGTTGCATCGCGATCGAAGCAATTCCGACAGCCGGTAAATGTTCCTTTCGGTCGCTTTAAAACCGAATTACACCGTGAAAGCTTCGCGTATGTAGGTTTTATTGCCTCCGACACGCGATGCAGTCATAATTTTTCGCCCCAGACTCGTCAGCCGACGAAGGAATTAATAAAAGCAACGTTATTTATCGCGGCACCGTTCCCGCTATTCCCTTCGCGAAGGCAACGATACCGAGGCTCGACCAATTTGCTAATATCGAAGGAACCAGCTCCCGATAGGGAATCCCGTCGAACAAAAGGAAATGAAGGGACGGTGGTAGGGCGGCAGACGATGGCATCGATTTATTCCACGGACAATGAATAAAACACTGAAAACTCTCGCACTGGGCCAGGTTGTTTAGGGAGTAGGGAATAAAAGGGCAACAGAGACGGAGGAGTGGATCAGGTGTGCAATTCGTTGCATGCAAATTGACATGCTGAGCTATAATTATTTATGCGACTCTCTGTAATTTGTATCTTCCATCTCCCTTTGATAATCCTGAACAAATGTGCCCCTCTGGTGGAAGACACTTTTCCATCTTATTCGTGAATATTTCGTTTAAACAATTCATCGGAGGATTGGAAAATCAAAAGGTTGTACGTTTCGACGTGGAAACTTGATGGTAAATCGCATTTCCCTCGACAGCCCCGATCGGTAAAAATCGAACGAAAAGGGCAGGCTGCGGTGCCTGGATAGTTTGACCCCTGTAAGGTTCGAGTTTGTCAGCTGGAAAGCCGATTGTTCGCTCGTCCCGATTTTATGATCACGGAAATTACCGGCCGTCTGTCTCCCTCTTCCTGATACAAGGACGAGTACCTAGAGATCCCGTTGAATATGTACATAATCGGCAAACATGCATCGAGCGTGAATCGAGCCCGTTTATTGGCACAGTGGGATGCACTACAATTTCGATAATTAAACCGGCTTACACGGAGTTCCACGTCGCCCTACTTTGACCGCTTTTCCACCATCATCGTATCGCCGGATCTTGAACCTACTTGGCCGATCGATCCGGATCATTTCGAAGTTTATAGCCGCCGCAGGTTGCTCGTAAATCTCGAAAGCCCGCTACGGGATTTTCAGCATCAGCCAGCGCGACGATAGCGCGGGAAAACGGCTCGATATTAAGCAACGTACGCCCCTCGAGACATTTTCTATTTTTCATTATCAACGATTTACAGCGAACGCCGGAGATACCGGGTAAGAAGAATTTGAATTTGATACGATGATCGAATTAAGGCAGTCTGATTCGCGTTTCATCTGATAAATCAGCTGCTAGAATAGTTAGTCAGATTATGGGATATATGCATTTGAATGGATAGTTTGAAGTGCTTGTTGGGATTGGGAATTATCTTTATGCTGATGAGATTGATCGAAACATTATTATTATGATTAATTCACATTTATTAACTTCATTCAAATATTACAATAATTACAACAATCATTTGTTTTTCCATTGTCTGGTCCGAGGGAATTTAGTCGCCGCTAAGTTTCACTTGTCTGACCGCTCGCCGACCTATTCTACTTGTTCGCACTCCGTTCCTCGAATTACCGAAGTAAATCGTTCTTACGCTTCCAAAACTTGAACTCCGCTTCTGATAACGCTGTGACATTGTGTGGGCGCTTGTACATTCATTCGCGACCCTTCTGCATACTCGTCACTTAAGTACACCAGCCTGTACATTAAACGTAACACAGCGTCCGCTACTCGAAATGGCTCCCTCGATATTTTCGATGGGAGGGTGATCGTGCGAGCAACGTTAGAGGGTGTATAAGTGGTGGTATGGTAAGGGCGAAGTTCGAGGGAGGTAAAAGTTTGAGATTCGTGCCTCTTGCCGTTTACACCCCCCTGTTTTCCAGCCCGTTGATCCGAGTACCTGTTTCACCCCATCTTTGTCCACGTTCCACGCAACTTCCACGCAGCTAAACCTCCGGCAGACTAACGAGTGGATCGAGTAATCTTATTAGATGATCGTCGCTGATTCGGTGGTATATTTTAAGGGATGATCGTAATCTTTTTCATTCAATCTAGGTAACCGAGTGTTACCTAAGAGCTTGTTGGAAATATTATAATTGAATGGGAATCGTTTTCAAATGTCACGAGCGTAATTTCCAGCTTTCCAAATGACATCATTTTGGAAAATTGTCCGGCACGAATGGAAGCTTTCAAGGTATTGAATAAAATCACGAGGCTATACGAATCCATTCAAACAGATCGCAAATTTGATACATTGCAAAGCCGAGAAGCACATTTGTATCTCAGTTTTCTTCTCTGAAAGCAGTTCAACAGGACAGAATTCCTGTGGGAGTCTATTTGAAAGTTCCAAAAGCTTCCTTATAAACAGTCCCGCGTTCCCAAAAGAAAAATCTACAAGCAAACAGAAAGATGCGGGGCAAATTTGAAGAGGAACGAGATTTTCAACTTTTCCAACAGAGAAGACAAAGGTGGGAGTGCCACCGGTGGAGAAAACAAACGAAATATTGCGAGCAATCTAAATTACCGAGTAGCTCGAAGGGTGATCGACGGAACGGAACGAGGAATAAGAAAAAAAAAAGAGGGAAAGCGTTCGAGCTTGAATCCTCGAAGAATTACAAGTATCAAATCAACTTCGTCACTGGGATCAGTCTTCTCTGGATACCCCGAGGCGCACGATCCTTCGACTTTTCAACGCTTTTCCGTCCTTCTTACCAGAGTGTTCGTAGATTCGATTCGATTTACTTCGTCAAAGACGCTGAATCCTCCCGGCTGGCAGCGTCGAATCATCGGAACGTTGCTTTTCACGGAGTTTCAGCCCGATATTCCTATCGTTAATGAACGTCGGTCACGCCATAGCCGCGAAATGATGAGGCTGTTGAAAATCTACCGGCGAATTTCGCGTCGCGAATAATCACGCTAATCGATTTACACCTTGACGCGAATAAATTTCGTTGATTACAATCGTAACGCGTTGAAGCGGTCGCGCAACTAGATTTCTGCTGGTCGAGTTTCGTTATTGATGGATGCGATTATTGGCATTTCAAATCGCAAATCATCCAAACCATAGGTGAAACCTTGCAATTTTTATTTTTCTCGTTGCACTTTACAATCATTTGCATCTTTTAATTAGTACTCCTTCTGAGAGAACAATTATTTCGTTTTATTATTCTGGGTTCCCTGAATTATCTCTTGATCTTATATTCAGAAAAAGTATAGAGATTCTTTTTCTATTTTCGATGCACCTTCGATCTACGTTTTCAAGAGAACTTCATTACATCGAGGTCGAAGTAGTGCATTTTAATTAACCGACAGGAAACGCAGAATACGTGTACAGAGTGTGTTTATCCGGTAAGAAAGTCAATAGTGCCTTTTAAAAGCTCCAACTACTTGATGGTCCTCTATAAATCCTTCGGGCTGGATGAAAAGGTACAAGGTATCTCTGGTTCGATTTATAACCCGCTCCAACTCGTGGAAGACTTGTGTCACTGGCAAATTTATTCCAAATCCTTCCGTGTCCCGCCAACCCGGTAGGTATTATTGTGACAAATTTGTCACGGTTCTTTCCAAGCTCACGGAAACTCTAGTTCTCGCGAATCGATTTCAATTTCAACTCACTGAAATTTATTATTATTCAAACAAGCCCGGCTCTGACCTATCGCAATCGTCTTCGAGCGAGCAAACACTCTTCAACGAGTCAATTTCAAGTTTATTATCAGGGCAACCAAATTACTTACAGCCGATGCAATTCATTTCGACCGGGAAGGGGAGGGCTATCGGTGAATTTTCGATCGCAGTGGGTCATTTTTCAAATTCATATTTCAATATTACCATCCGGCTGTTCAATTTCCCCTTGTTCATCTTTTATTAGACTCATACTCGACATATTTACGACCTTGAAGCACGTCCTCTTTATTATAACTCGAAAAAAAGGAGCCTCGATGTTTGTGCAATATTGACCCCGGACGAGATCCCGATGCTAGCCTCCCACGACCAGGAAGAATCGTCAACCGATGCTGGAATTCTCCGTCGTCGGATTCCTCGAGTACGAGTTTCGAAGTACATTCTGAAAGGAGGAGAGAACAGCGGGGCAAAGATAAGGGGAAATAATTCCATGAAATATGACTTCTTCCAATGAAGCATGATATCTTTGGATCGAGATTGAAAGCCACGAATGATTGTTAGGGTTATTAACATTGTTATCTACGGATATCGTTCAATGATAAAGCTCAGATTACAAGTTACAATCAAAATGAATATTTTCATGGTGAATACAGTACAAACATTTCATTTTTTCCATCTTTATTTGCTAAGAATCATTTCACATGATTGTCGAAGATTTCAAAGCAATCCCTGGAAAACATCGTTCCATAAAGGCTGCTAATTATTTTCACGTTGAACACTGTAAAAACATTTCATTCCAAAGTATATCAAACCATAATTTTCATCTTCGTTTGCTAAGAGTCATTCACATGATTATCAAAGATTTCGAGGCAACCCCTGGAGAAGATCCTTCCATAGAGGCTGCTAATTATTTCCAGCTAATTATTTTCACGTTGAACACCGTAAAATCATTTCATTCCAAAGTATATCAAACCATAATTTTCATCTTCGTTTGCTAAGAGTCATTCACACGATTGTCAGAGATTTCAAGGCAACCCCTCGAAAAGATCGTTCCATAGAGGCTGCTAATTATTTCCAGCGACACGGTTCGTTCATCAGTTTACCCAGCCAGTTATCTGAAATCGTGCGGGTACACGCGCGAACGGGATCTTCTTCTGGCGAATAGACGGATAAGCTTTAGCGGGATGGTGCGAGCGAGCGTGTAGTTGGCATCGGTGGCCGTGCGGGGCGGTCGAGCACTCGAGTTTAGGGGGTTGTCAGAGCAAGGGTGGATGGAAGGTGGCCGCGAGGCGAGCAGAGAAGTTAGCGCCTGCGTATTCCCCTCTCTGTCTACTTGTCAGCCAAGCGGAGCTGCCACCACCCTGCTCGCTTTTCCTCTCGTCGCTACTCGATAACAAACTCCACGGCACCAGTACTGGCACGGTACTCCGGACCAAACGGGTCGCTCGAACGTCGCGCCGCCTTTTCTCTCCACCTGCCATCGACCGGATATCGATAAGCCGTGTTTACGCGACGGCATCTCATCTGGATCGATCAGCGAATCGTTTCCGATCGATTCGATACGATCGCGCTTTTTTCCTCTCACGGACACCCGTTCTCAATCGCGATTCTTCAACGACACGATTTTCGGCTATTCTGTGAACAAAGTTTCATTCGTTTCAATTTTTCAAAACGCGAACGTTGCTTGTGACGTTATTCGAAAATCGATCGGCAGCTCTTTCAATCGCGTTGAACGATTGATTTCCCATCGGTGGAGGTTTCACGTCGATCGACGCGTGTGAACGGCGGACCTGTCAATCGGTACGCTTGTTATGGTGTGTAACTTGTTGCTCGGCCTCGCAAGGGGCCGTGATCGTTGTCATGATTTTAAATCGCGAACCTCGTGCCCCGAATCATTCCTCGTAGTTATCATTCATGATTTGCTTCATTTGATTGTTTCTCGACGACCGTCTTGAAAGTTTGCATTCGAAGCAGCTCGAACGCGATCGACGACTCGTTGAGCGGCAGAGGATGTTCGATAAAAAGCGAAGAGGATTTTTCATCCTTCCAGATGATCCCTCTCGTTATTTGCGGCTTATGATGCCAGAAAGCAAACAAGCCCGTTCTGTCCCCGATATTTGCTTGTCGGATTATATTGTTTCCCTTAGGATCGCTCTGGCCTGCCGGGAAGATCGAGTTTCTCGCGATCGATGTCTCGGTGACGGGCAAACAGCCTCGTGTGATATCGGTAAACAGATTTCTCCTAAGCTCCTTTTGTTCCTGCAAATTTTCGACGTCTCCTTCGAAGAGAGGCGTTCGATGCTCGTTTAATTCTTCAATTTGCAACGGTGCTTCGAGAGGGTAAACCGCCAAGAGACGTATCGGCTCGTTTCGTGGAGAAACGACAGAAAAATCGGGTAAACTCGATGATGGAAACAAATTGGAAAGTCTTGGGGACGAGAGTCGGTTTTTCCTTTTTACGATCGTCCCGACACCAGTTTCTCTTCCCCCGCCTTTCCAACGAATCGTGGCGAACAGAGATCGATTCACGGATCGAGATTACCCTTCGGAAATGAGGTTTCCCCCCCACCCATCGATTCCGATAATTTCTGGTTGTGTTTCCCTGTCGCCACGGAGAAGGTTATTCACTTTCACGGACGCGTTTGAACGGCCATCCATGTCAGGGAATAAAATGGTCCCCGCTAGGATGCGACAAGGGTTGATTGTCGTCTCGATTTCACGCGTCCAAGTTTCGCCCTCTTAACCGATGTGTTCCATCTCTGTCGAGGAAAAAAAAAAGTCCATTGCTAGAATCGAATCCGTGGGTCACTTTGACCTGACCAATAAAAACTTTCTCCATAATGTTTACACTGATGTTCTTTCATTAATATATCTTCTCGCTGACATATATCTTGAATTATAATAGAAAAGAATTGAGTGACAGATTTAAGAGTTCTTTTTGTATTTCTTTGTCCGAAATATTTCTATGCACTTAGTTTTATCATTTTAATCTTCCTAAGTCTGTTGTCGAGTAAATTCAAAATTCTCTCATTTTTCTTCTCGTTTCTGGACAAACAACGAACCGAGTTACTTTCGTCGAAAGTGGCAACTCCGTTTCGAAGCTCGATCGTTTGTCGTTTCGCCGAAGCACCGTTCGACACTAATTTCATGCGATCGAAAGTTTCATCGGTTCCCCTCCCGGCTTTAATCTCCCCTCTGCGCCTTTTTGAAAGATCCGATTTCGAGATCTAGCCGGCCGACAAATTGAATCTGTACCCGAGTTGTCTGTCGAAAGGGCGAGCTCTGAATTCAGCCTGTTGAAAAACTCGACGGACGAACGTTTTCGTCGTTCAACATTTCAATGGAAAATCGGTGCAACAAATGGTTATAAAGATTTTCACCGTTCCATGGGACCTTCGTTCGTTCCGCGAATTTAATTTCAAATCGTGTCATAATACAATCGTCCATTTTGGCACGCGCCTAATTTCTTCTTTCATCCCTTTGATCATCGTCAGAAATCGTTTCCTCTTTCACGCCTCTGATCGCGATTGAATTTAAATTCCGCGAGTTTCCAGTGTCTCTTTCACCGCGGCGAATTCGTACATCCGACCAGCTGACGGAATTGAATTTTTCTCCCCTGTATCCGGCCCGAAAGGGCGTATCCCGTTAAACGACGGTTTTCCTCGTTAAATAGCCGGAGGATCAGCCAAGGTGAAGTTTAGTCGGTGTTACATCGACGTAGATAAATCGAGCGAAGCAAACAGCTGGACCATCGGGTCGTTGCGGTTTCTTGGCATCGTTCGAGCCACGAGGATTAAGCAATTACGGCTTCTTTCGGGCGGCATTAACCGAGACCTCGATCCGACCAACGTTTTTCTCGCCCACCTGGTCGTCGACGATCTGTAAAGCTGTACGAACGAGAGCCCGGTTCACGACGACATTGTCCCGAGTTTTCCCATTAAAGAGGACTCGTCGTTCGTGTTTACTCGGTGTACAACTGTTTCGAATCACCGAGAGGACATGTTCTGTCTTTCTGGTACGGCTACACGAACGACAGGATACGCGGTGACGTAATTGCGAAATGGTATTTGCGTTGTCCGGCTGGACCAAAGTTTCCCTAGGAGATCCGTAACATTCGATGAAAGGAAGGATTTCTAGTTACCTGAAGCCAGGTTGTACGCTTGTTTTGTGGCTACGGGCGTGTTAAGTGTTAGTTTGACGATTAATCGGACCACTGTGCTCCCGGTGACAACAGTCGGTGTCTTCGAGGAAAGTTTCTCGAACGTAGCTTGCATGTTAAAACTTCTTCGAGGGCTTTTCTTCGACCCTTGTAAAACGTTTGATCGGGAGGAAAGAAAGTTCGACGCGGTATTTAACGAGCCGATAGCCGTGCTCTTCTTTTCTTACAGCTGGTAAAAGAATGTTTCAATTCGAGATTTAGTGGATGAGTATTTTATCGGGTCTTTTTTTATTTACATTGACTTTGAAAGATGGATGAAAATTGATTGAATATAAGCTGAAACGATAACCTGTAATTTAACGTCTAAGGCGTAGAGATTAATTAGATGTCCGGTACTGGCGACACGGCGCTAATTGTCAACGTATAACGATAATTTAAAGGGAAGGAAGGGAATCAATCTTGTCTCCGTACAAATTAGTACAGCCACCGTAAAGGATTTAGAGGATTATGTCGTAATTCGATTTATGAACAAGGGAGTAAAATATTATATCTTCTTCTGCTGTAACTGCGGCTAACGTGACAGGCTATACAGTTGAATAACGAGCCTCGAAAGAGCCCTGGGAAATTGATTTTATCATTAACGTGGCCAAACAAAAGGGACAAGCCAGTTACAATACCGCCGTGGTTATTAAATAAGAGAGCTTCCAATATTGGACATTATGGTCATAGTTATGGTTATAGTTATGGTCAGAATATGGACTATGGTTTACCAACGTAAAACTTGGTCAAAAACAAAGCATGATTAATAATTTCATTTCGTACTTTCCTCGTTACGACACAGAGATCGTTTCATCGACACAAATTCGTAATGGATAAAATCAATTTCGTCCAGTTTTGAAAGAGAAATCGACTTTCGAGGATAAAAGAATAAGAGAAACGTTCGATCTCCTGGCTATCTGTTTTCCTTTCACGATTATTAAAATTTATTGGTTTATCGAGCACGGTAACCCTCGCTCGACAGAGCGTGAGATCGGTGGATTAAGAAAGGTCGTTAACAGGGTCACCTTTGTCCTCCCTCGTGCGCTGGAAATACTTTGATAATGCAGTACATTAGCTTACGCATACAGAGTTTTATCCTGCAATTTCATTTTATTGATGTTGTTTTTAAAAAAAAAGGAAAATTTGATAGAAACGATTGTTTCAATCTATCTGACGATAAAAAAAATGATGACTGTGGAAACAGTTGAAATAGAATTTGCATTTTTCAAACATCGTTTCGCTCGCGTTGCAATGGTATTATTAAAAATATTTGTTGTATATTCGCGGCGATTCGTCGATTCCGTTCTATTTGCTTTTCATTTCTCCCCATTAACCTCGGTCACAAAATTCTTCTCGATCCTCTTATCGAATCCAATTCGGTCCCCTCTTATCGGCCTACGAAAGTTCCCATTGCGCCGCAAATACTTCATCCCAGAAGGATGATTTCCTTAATCCAGCAGCCGCTCGAGTAGAAAAGAGAAATAGAAGGAAACGGGGTTGGTCCTTTCCAGTCTGAACGTCCATTCGTGGTCGACGGTTTTAAACCGTCGCGAACCAATTAATCTGTTCTACTTTCCCTCTGAATGTTGGATAACGAGCGACGGACGTGTATTAATTGGAACTCGATGAGAGGGATTAAAGGGCAACCAGCGAGCTGACCTTTTCCCTCAGACGTCTAACCTTCCCCTCCATCTCAGACCGATGAATCGTGCGGTTTTTCTGTCGCAGCACATGGGTCGTCGTCGTGTTCTTACGCGAGCCAGAAAACTCGGCAGGACTGGAAATCAATCAACGAACAGATTCGTCATCGTTCGATCGACATTCGATTATAAAAGAACTGGAGCACCGTTTGATCGTGACTGATACGCGGGCCAGATTTTGTTACGAGTACCATTTCCAAAAGTATTCTTAAGTTTTCAATTTATTTATACAAATTAGTGGAAGGTATTTCAAAAGATGGTACTCGATTTTAGTTTGGTAAACTCATTTCAAACACCGCCACTCTTGGAAAGATCGAGGTCGTAAACTTGTCATTCGGTGACTGGGTGTCTATAATCTAAAAGTTTTCAATATTCTATCGGACCATTGATTCCATCCCTTTTCCAGAATGCAAACCTTCGTTTGATGGTTTAAAAATTTTGCTGTTCCAGAGGGAAAGCGTGACACATCGGGGAAAAAATTCAGAGCGAAACAGGAACATTTGCAATTTACATCCCTCATAAAGTTCGTTCTCTTAATAAAGACATTGTTGAAATTCTGTAAGGATGATCGTGCAATTTTAATTATAAAGAAAACACGATCCTTGCTGTTTAATTTTCTATATAAAATCTAATTATAACTAAGTTCCAATTTGTTCTTGATTCCACCCCCAGTGTGGTCATTCACACGGTGGACCACCCTTGTGACCTGAAACAATTATCATCGAGGTCGTTCATTTTAAAATTCATGATTGATCCTTTCTCCATTTAGAATCCTTTTCACGAAATTCACGCAGTGAAAAACGAGGTTGAAAGTTTTCAAAATCCACCAATTCATCATTTTTGGCCTCTTTCAGTGCCAAAATCCAAAGTCAGAGTTCCTTTTTTCGAAACGTACGCACGGTCGAACGAAAAAGGGAGCTGGCATCGAGCGAGCCGGTACTTTCATCTGCACTAAAACGTGTCCGACACTAGATTATCGGCCGTCGCGATTCGATATTCGTTCGTTCGAAATAAATGGCCGTTAATGGTATTTCTGGTAGGTGTCTCGTGCGATAATGCGCGTCTCCGGTCCAGCCGCCGCTAAAACGACGAAAACAGCGCGTTACTGGAGCCTGTTCGTGTCCGGTCGACGCTAAATGATCCAACCAGTTTAATCGATCGAGTCGACCCGTCGGATAATCCACGTGCACCGTTATCGTCGTCGTTTGATCACGTACATCATCCTGGAGGAGCACCGCGACGCCTGCTGGCACGATGATGCACGTCGCCGACCGCTGACCATCGGCCTGCGTCCAGATTTCAGGTATGAACCCGTTTTTCAAACGGTCACGTACTCGCGCGTGACTTCTGTCGCGATGAATAGAAACGTTGATTGGTCCCGTATGATTTTCCTCAGAGTGCTTCAAATACTTTATCGTCTAACGTTTTCGATTTACGATCCCACGTGAAGGATGGATTATTCTTTGAAAACGTTAGACCACTTTGGTATATTTTAACTCTTACGTCACTCGACTAGACTATGACAAAATAAGACAGTTTGGATTCTGAGAATTTATCGTCGACGAAGAAAAACATGCGCATAAATTTCACCAAGTTCGTCGTTCGGTAGCTAGCGTATCGAGAAACTACAAACATCTGTAGCCGTGCAACTCGCCATGCGAAATAGACGTGTTCGTCGAACCGTGATATCGTATCATTGTTGTCAGATACAGGGATACGTGTTGTTTTTTTTTTTCTTTCCTTACTTGTCGAGGCTTGTTTCGGTTCGAATGTTTACTCGGGCATGAAGAATTCGAGCTCGGTACGATTCGGGTCTACGGGAAGGTCGGTCGACCGAAGGGTCTATGCGATGTTTAGTCTTCGCTCGGCTTTCGAGGTGATCGGTTCGCACCGCGTCGCGCTGGAAAATATTTGTAATTTCTCTTTTCTCTGTGATTCTCGTACCGTGTCTCGTGATAAAATAACGTATTTTATATACGTTATTCTATATACTAACATAATATTCGTATCTTAACCCTTTAACGCGTCAACCGATGAGTTCGGTTAATTTAACCTAGATTAGGATCGGTGATAACTTTTTTGAAAAGTGAAGTGAAATTTGGAGAATGGTACTAACCCTAGCTGCCACTGAAAAATGTGACCATTTTTTGAGCATCCAATCTAATACTGTAAGTACACTTGATGTTTGTTAACTTTTTATGCGCTGTACATTATCATAGTTATGTGAATTACCGAGGTATTGGTTGAACTTTTCTGGGGCTCAAAAATTATGGCTTTTCTTTTTATCTTCTTAATGTGTTTAACGAGTAGAATCTAAAAATCCAAGTTTTAAGGCGTGGAATCCACCGATTCAGAAGTTATGCATGTGTAAAACTGAGCGTTTTTAGTGTATTTGTTGACAAGTTATTTCGACGTCAAATTAACTCTTCTCCGCATCCAATCCTTTGCCGGTCACCAGTTGGACTTGGACTCTATTTGTTGCGTGTGATTACCATCAGTTCTTATCAAATCCGAGGGGGTATTGTTTATAAAAAACAGAACTAAGTGGCGGGTTTAGGCCGCCACTTATGTAATTTTGTTTTACCGACGGCGACTCCACTCATTGGACGACAACAGGCTACAAGTCAATATGGCATCGTAGTGTCTTGTCAAATACTTTAAAAACGCTTAATTTTACAAATGCATAATTTCTGAACTGTTGGATTCTGCGCCTTAAAACTTGGATTTTTAGATTCCACTCGTCAAATACTTCAAGGAGATAAAAAGAAAAGGCAATAACTTTTGGGCCCCTGAAGAAAAGTTCAGCCGAGGTATTTATTATTTTTAAAAACTAATGTTTTTGTTTCGACAAACTATATTTTATTCAAAAGGACAGCATCCTTTTTTTCATTGCCTAATCTGAAAGTACAGTAGCGAGAGGCCGTACTCTCGTCGGAAAAAAAGCTTTTATACACGCACATATACGTCCGCAACACGTATGGACGGACGGTCGTTACGTTACAGGAAAGCCTGCGAATCGAACCGGATTTTCTTCTCTCGTTTTACGTTCTCCTGGAAGCAACAAAGAAATTTATGCGTTTCCATTCCGGGCGTTCATTCAAGCCGCTCCTTCCATTTGCCCTGGTGCGATCGAAGGCATTCAGTTAACGATCCTCAGATCAACGGAACCTCGTAATTTGTTATGGGCTTCGGTAGTTTCATTGATAGGCTCGTTCTATTAGCGATTCCCCTATCACAATTGCAATTACTTATTGCACTTTTGTTAATTTCATGGCGTTAACATTTTCGCTATCGCAGTAGAAATAGTAGAAACAGTCACACGGAGAGCGATGTAGGTTGTTAAAAATATTAAGCACTCACTTTTTAATGTTTAAGCATAAATTTACCGATTCCTTTTTCCTCTTCATTCCTTAATAATTTCTTTCCATTAACTTTTTACTATCAGAAGCAGGAGGTTCAATTATTCGTTAATAAACCACGATCTGGTCTACCTTATTGCGTTTATATTAGATCCACTATCTTTTATTAAAGTGCAGGAATTTTATGATTTTTTCATGGTAAACATTAATCCTCGTGCAACATTCAAATTTTTAATATTTTAATCAATAAATGTATTCTTAGAATATCTTTGATAAAAGTCAGTGGAATCTATCAAATATCAGATATGTTAATTATATTTTGACTGAAGGGTTATCGATCAACAGAGGCTAAATTTAATAAGTCTCCCAGTGTTAATTTAATAAGAGATACATTGTTGTATATCGTTGTAGGCGATGTAGCTGCAAATAAGGGTATAAGTTTTACGTAGACATATAGACGAGTAGATACATCGTTCGAATACAAAGATAAAGCACTCAGGCGCGTAGAATAGAATAGAAACCCCTTTGGTAATCTAAGCTTCGTAGCGTCGTATTTCCCTCGATCCCTTCGTCCTTTAGTCTCATTATCCTAAAATTTATTCCATCTGTTGTCCCATTCTTATAAACGATTCACTGTTGTAGATTAATTTTTCATTCGATTCGATTTTATTGCAGTCGTTCGAATTCCAGGAGCCGAAGGTTGAAAATTTCACCTTTTGCAAACGAAAAGCGACACTAAAAATCTCTCGGAAAACAAAGCAAAATTAATTTGATAGGTAGTTGTTTCAAGATTGCTTTTGGAAACACAAACGATTTCGAAACCTTTCGCTAAATCGCGAGATTAATGTTCGATCGAAAGACAAATATTATATTCGCGAACGAAGCCGATCCGTTTGACTTTCAGCCGCGTCCCAGCTCATGGAAAACACGAACCAGTCCGTGAATTTTATGCGATTTACCTACCAACTTCAAAATCCAATAGTGTATCCTGTAACAGAATCCATTATTTCCTATCCGCTTTGAATAATATATTAGAGAAAGTAGTCGTCTCCATTTTGTTTGATAGAATTTTATATTTCTGCTTATACCAATCAACGCAGCTTATTATTCTTAATAAAAAGTTGTTTAAGTATTTATATCAAAAAATCATTAGTTTAGGAGATATTATAATTTAGATATTTTAAGTAGTACAAGTCAGGCATATCTGCGACGCGGTGGAAAAATCATTGATACGCACCACTTTTAATATAATGAATCATCAGAAACGGTTCAAAAATCACGGATATCTTTATTGGAAAAATTTTTGCAATAGTTTTAAATCGCGCTTATGATCATAACATTGAAACTTAGAAATTCGCCGGACCACGTTCCAGCAGGGTGAAACTTTCGCGCAGGGTCGTTTTCGTCGGCCAAAGTGTGCCTTATCGCGGGAGCAAAGGCAAAGAAAGATCAAGGGAATTTCCTCCGGAGAACACTCGGCCCGGGAAACAGGCCAAGCGGGTTGATATCGGTGCTACCTTGACGGCAAAGCCCCCTTGTTCCTTTAATCTAGATTTCTCGCGAGCCTAGGTGCAGCCGCTTTTAAACGCTTGTCTACCGAAAGAGAAACGACTAACTTGTTGAATTCACGTTCGAGAAGTTTGGCTTTGAACGACGATCAGATCCTTTTTCTTTCCCCTTCAGAGGGCCAGTCATTTAGTCTCTAATACTTAAGGAGTTTCGCACCTTCAACAAATGCATCAATTTTTCTTCGAAGCTGAAACTTTTAAATGGAAAAGTTCAATCTAGAGGAAAAATGAAAATCTGTTTTTCTTAATCTTTCTTAGGTTCCATATTCACCTTGAGGTGTGTCACAAAAAGGTACGGCCCTCTAGAATGACCTAATAAAGGGTTCAAGAAACAGTTAGTGTCGTTTTTCGTCAGCTTCGTGGTCGAATAAAGTATCTCGCAGTTTCCCCAGGATGCTCGTAGCTTTTTATGTTTCTCGATGCACGTTCATCCAGAATATCGTGAACGTAAAGGCTGAGCATAAAGATCCAGTCGCGATGGGAATGGTCGGGAGAGAGTTCCTCTCGCGATTGAAGAGCCTCGAATGCGACACTGTGGTTTCAGCTTCTAAACAGTAACGAGAGCTATTCGGATTTTTGAAATGGTGTCCTAAAAATCCGTGGAGTATCTCTGCCATTACATCAATGAATGTTAGTCCCTCCTAAAAAAAAAAGAAATAATTCAAACAGGGTTTCTTGAAAATAGCCATCGTACGATTATGTCAAAGATCCTTGTAAGTTAATATTTGACTTGCAACGAGGCTTCTTTATTGGTGCGCAAATAATTAGCAGAAAATTCTGGTCCATCACGTGCTCGATGAGCGCGTGATTAACGTTGAATTATCGATAACGAAATTTCCACCGACCACTGGGTAAATGTACCGGGTTTATTTAGTTGCACACAGCGCATTACAGAACGCCGGCCGGATGTAACAACGCGGAGGATATATAATTTAACGGACGTTTCGCGAATACGCTCGGAACTTATTAATCAAAGTCATTCGATCGATCGCAACCTGCCCGATGCAAACAATGACAGGCGTTTCATGGATTTACGAGCGTTCACTCTTTAAAAGTCGAAGTTCATTACAATATGGTCCGTCGGATAGCATTTCAAATCCTCTGGATTTATGTTTGCAGCTAGGATATCTCTAGGTGCGTTCTAGATTGGTAATTACAATAGATACAACACCTGGATTATTATCATTTTTATCGCACCTTTAATTACATTCATTTCTCTTAAACGTTGAATAGAATTGAAATAAAAAATCCACGAAGAACGATGGCACGGTTTTTTGCAAACCGTTGCAATTAGCCGGCACATTGTTGTTAAGAAAGCAAAGACAAATAACAATTGTTAGCGGTTGTTTCGGTGTCAAGTACCAGCGCAACAATGA